GGCCACCCCGAGGTTATCCTAATTCCTTGATCGGGGCACCGGGGAAGTAACATGCCCACGCAACCGATGAACAAATTCTGCAGATTTTTTCTTCATATATTATGGCCCGTTTGCCGGTTCTATCTAATTGCTTAAGTGTTGGAATAAAAAAAAAATATTACCTCAGAAATGCAGACAAAGAATAATTCTCTTGCACTTTTTTGCAGTTTTGTGGATGTTCATATTCATGGAACAACTGTAAATTATTAAAGCTGTTTCGTGAAGCCTCACTCGTTGGAGGGAACCGAGAAACAAGTGATCGTCAACAGCTTTCCCCAGTTCGGCTATTGCCTAGTTCGTGATCAGCTGGATCGGCTTGAAACCGGGAGCTTCAAGGACGATATTAGTTTCTGCGTTCAGAATATTGCTTCGGCTGTTGGCGCAACGCTTTAATAATCCTGCTGTTAGGTTCGGTGAACAAGTAACCACTATTGATCAGAATTAACATATCCAGTTAATCTCCCCTAAATGATACTCGGTTACATCAAAAATGCACCATCGCTAAGTCCTGTAGTTTTTTTCTGCCATGATCTGGCTCTCACTTGGCGGAGATCTAATTGCGCCTGCACGCTCACTTATTTCAAACTCTCTGAATAAACTATATTTAGCATACATACCTGTTCCTGTAGAGGTCGCGCTGAAACCTTATCAAGATTTTGGTTTTCTCTGAAAAAATAAGATAACTCTTGCGCTACATTTCTTAACTGTTATCCAGCAAAGTTGGCTGGCTCCTGACCATTCAAATGATATTTTATTAGCCATATTCGGGTATGCCTGAGAAGTTTATTTCAATATTACAGTCTCTCTATAATAGTAGCCGAAGCCGAGTCCGAGCCTACGGTACTTTTTCATCCGAGTTCACCACAGAAGTGGTGTTCGACAGGGTTGCCCTCTCTCCACTTCTATTCAACTTCGTAGTAGATTTAATGCTTAAAACAGCCCTATCCTCGTACGAGGATAGTGGCATCGATTTGCCCCCAGGTGGCAGACTGTTTGATCTAGAGTATGCAGATAACATTGTGCTACTTAGTGGAGATTCAGGTAACTTGCAAGCTTTTCTGGATAGTTTGAGTGCTAGTGTAGCGATGTTCGCCATACGCTTTGCACCTTCAAAGTGTAAAATGCTGCTCCAAGTTTGGATTAACCCTGTCCCCAGCCTTACCCTGACCGGGGAAGTTGTGGAGAAAGTAGATACGTTTTGCTACCTGGGCGGCTATATCTCACCTGGCGGACGCATCACAGATGAAGTGGTGACGCGCATGCAGAAAGCTCGGTTGGTATTTGCCAACTTGAGACATTTGTGGCGCCGTCGTGACATCCGGTTGTCTGTGAACGGTCGAGTGTATGCTGCAACAGTTCGGCCAGTATATGTGCGCGGGACCAAACATCAATGATTTTTCGTGCAACTCGTAAACCTTGTATATGGTCGTAACGCGTACTGCGACAGTCGCCTCAGTGAGACACTGGTGCTATCCTGTGGTATCTATTACATCGACTTGATAGCAGCGAACCGTTCAGTTTTTTCTGTGGTTTGGAAAATAACCGCCGGCTTGGTGATCTCAGTTTCATTTAACAAATTCTTTCAATCTCTTCCGAAAGCAGAGACCTTTGTGATCGTTTATCCTAGTTCAGGTAGCACTTCATTTTTTTGTTTTCCGAGCTTTCCATTGTAATCCATTTTTAAGGGCTGTATTATTCCGTTTTGTAGTACTAAGAATGTAGTCCTAGACGAGGGTAGTTTCATTTACAGTAGTGTATGTTCTTTTATTCTCTCATTATATTCTGCACATGTTTCCTATTCCTCTGTTTACACTTTTTTGTTGGCAGATATCGTCCACATGGTTGCCGGTCTAACTAAGAACGCAATTTTTCGTCTGACAAAGGACAATTTGCAGTTCATCATTAAGGAACGTGTCGTATTCGGTGGAGTCTCCGCGTGGTGTGAAGTGGATCATGTAAGTAAGCACCCCCTCAAATCAATTGCTATAGTTTGTATGGAAGGAAACGATCACATTATTTCGTTCCAAGTGATTTACTGCCGATAACGGGTTCATCTGTCTTCTAAATCATACGTCAGTTTGTGCTCATCAATCGGAGAAATGACACAGTCACCCACTTTTGGATATAGGGACCTAACAGCCTAATACATAGCGCGCCCTATCTATTGGCTGCACACCATTCCGCCGTTACCTCGGAAGTATTGTTGTTTGTGATGAATACTACATAACGACATCTCGAAAGGTTTATTTACGGTCACGGTTAATTAGCCACAGGCATGATTTGCTCAATACTGTATGTATCTTTTATGTCCTGGTTGGCTCATTTTCGGATTCCTACCCAAATGACAAACGCAGGCACGGCGGTTGGCAAGTAGCGCTTATTCGTACTCTCCCATTGAAAATGACTGTGTCCCAATTGGTCAGCTCGAGCATCCGAGTTTAGGAATCGCTTTATACACCTCGAAAGGTGTGTGTGTGTGTGTGTGTGTGTGAACAAAAAGTAAAAAAGCACTATCATACAACACTTAAAAGACGTGAAACCGGACAGCAACATCAGACGCCAATGATTTACCCGGGTGTTTATGATTGGCGTTTGGCGCAGATCTCTTGCAACGAGTTCATGGTTTGTTAGAATCCTGGCGAGATACGGAACAATGGAGCGCCTGT